AGATACCCCTGCCTTATCCTAAACCTTCCTTATCACCTATATAAACCCCTATAGGGTTGGATTTCTTCTAAGGCACTCCAAGAGAGGCTTAGAGCCGAATTTTCCACTTCCATTCTCTCTCCATAGTAATCCTTGGTTGCTAGGTTTGTTTGTGAGCCATTAGAGACGCGATACTTGTGGCGCTTGCTACCAAAGTTCAAGATCTTCAAGGATTTGATTGTTATTACAATATAACAATAAAGGTATGTATCCTAACCTTAATTATATGTTCATTTCTAAAATTACATGTGCTTCCTAGGGTTTTCTAGTTTTTGTGTTCAATGCTTGTATGTCTAATAGTGAAAAACATAGATCCTCAAATTAGGGTTGCATGCACACATAGGATTGTTTGCTATGTATAAAACCTATCATATAGGCCATTAGAATCATAGATGTTGTAAGGCCTATACTATTTCTGTTTATACTTATGTACTGTATTGACAATGAAATCCCAACATTTTTAATACAATGAAAACATATTTCTTTCGAAATGCTTTGATAATTTACTTATCATGTTTTTGGGAAAAAATTCTGCAACATATTTCTTCAAAAGGGTACTTTGATTTTCAAATAAAGCATAAATAAATCGGTCTTTTCTAGCCGTGAAATTGGGAATGTCACAAGCGGTGACTTGGAAAAGTTCCAAGCAGTCAACGGTGATTGATTCTACTTGTGAATTAAAGTACATCACAGTAAGTGAGGCATCAAAGGAAGCGGCTTGGTTGAAGAATTTCATTGGAGATCTCGGAGTAGTTCTGACCATTCAAGAGTCAATGGAACTCTTCTATGATAATGAAGGCATGGTTTCTTTGACCAAAGAACCAAAGGATCATGGGAGATCCAACTATATCTACAGAATGTACCATTATATCAAACATAGGACTAAAGATGGGCATCTCCTGGTGAAACGAGTATCATCAGAAGATAATCACGCAGATCCTTTCACAAAGGCTCTAAGTAAGGTCAAGCGCAACCAACATGCTAGGAGCATTAGCTTAAGAGATGATATTTGTTTTAGTAGTTAGTTGATAGTTTGAAACTTTGTAACAAATTAAATGTAATTGATTTTGGTGATTAAATAATAGATAATTATTTATGAGTATGGGTATTGTCATCTTCAATTGTTTATTCTTGTGTTTCACTTTGTATGTTTATTTCCCAAATAATTTTATTATTCAAATTCCACATCCATTCATACTTTCGGAAGTAATGAATTAAGACTGTCATGAATCGATTGTAGATCGTCTATAGAGATTAATGTTCATGAGACTTTGAAAATGGAGATTTTAAGTATTGGATAAACTCACGCTTAGAGATTGCTTCATGGATATAATAATGAGTGATTCTAAGATGATAATATCTTCTATTCTTCAAACGAAGATACATAAGTTGTAATTTGCAAGTCAGTTATGCATTAGTGTTGCGAAAATGCATCAGTAACATGATGTTATAAAACATAGCATCATCTATGATTTGATGAGTAAAAGTTACAGTTATGTAGTGAAAGTTTATTCGTTCCTTTTGCCTAACGGGAAAACAAATATCTTTGGGGCCCTCGGTGATTTGATATTGACATTATAGCATTGGGCCCAGCCAAGACTAAATTGATGTGTTCAATTAGTATTCTAATGACATCATCACAAATCGGGAAATAGGGAAACATAATCTTGGACAATGAGATTGATTGAAATTCATGTCTCGTGTCTATACGATACCTTGAAGAATGAATGGATATTTAATCACTTATCTTAGGGTCAACGTTTGATTTGAATCAGAGGTTCACAGTGGCTTGAGGAACACACTTTGTTGTTTGGTTCAAGGTTATACTTGAAGTTGTAGTTATAGACTTATCCAAGTTGGAGACCGTTGGATTAAGGTGTCTAAGCTCATAACTAAATTTGTATACACTTATAATTAGAAGCAAAGTCCTTTTGGGTTGCCCTTATAACTAGCACTTGGTTAGAATGACATTTAGAGAGAGTGATGTATTGATCTATTATGATTAATAAATTACAATAAATGATTTTTTAAATATATTAATTTGAAATAGTAATAATTAGTTAAGAACTAGTCAAAAATAAATTGGAATTAATTTTAGGATTAATTATAATTAATTGAGAGTGTAGAAGCTAAGTTGTATTTGTTCAATAGTAGAACAAATGAGAGGTTACAGAACCTCCACCTTCCTATACGTTTTTTTTTTAATTTCCAAATATACTCCTTAATTAACTATAGAAACACATTCTTTTAAATGCTCTATTATATCATTTTATATCTTTTAGCTAGTTTCACTAAACATCATTTTTTATCAGCTAGATTTTTAGCTATCAACTAGGTTTTTATTTAACAGCTATTAGCTAGCTTTTCAGCTAACAGCTACCTTTTCAACTAGTACGTCAAACATAGCCTAAGTTTCATGTTGCTTTTTTGTTTTGTTGACAATCCGACTATCACAATTTACAAGTTGCTTTTGGGTCTTTATGTTATCTTCCAATTGTGGTTCAAATCATAGGTAAGAGTCAACTTGCAAGGCTCTGTTAAAACAACATCATTAAGAATGAGTTTCACCTAATCAGACGTTAGTTTTTTCGGACCATGTGTTACATGTCATGAAATAAGCATTTCACACTGATATATTGTCTTCTAAATTCCACCACATTCAAAGAAATTTGAAGGTTGGAACAAATTGTGCATTTGTAAGTTGTAAGCAAAGAAATCTATATTGAAGTTCAAAAAAAATTTTGGTCAAGTTTCATACTTTGAATTATATCTTTTTTCCGTAAAGTAGGTTCGACATCAAGTTTGAAAATTCAGATTTTATCATAAAAGTTATTTTTAGTACTTGTTTCTTTTTGGAAAAATTAAGTTAACTCATAATGGGGTTTGAAAATGGATATTTTCAAACATAGAGGATGTTTGGGTAAGCTTATGTAAGGAGCTTTTTTGCTTATTACCGTTCCAATATAAGCTAAAAGTAGTGTTTGGATGACAAGTTTTAATATATATATATATATATATATATATATATATATATATATATATATATATATATATATATATATATATATATATATATAACTTATAGTTGTGTAGTACCTCAAACACTTTTCATATGCTGGGTACCCCTTACTTATCAAAAACACCTTATTTCACCATTTTGAGAAATTTACCAAAATACCCTAAACCTAATAAAACCTTATACATGTTTCACGTAATACAGACACATCCATTCTCGTTGATCATTGGCTCCTCCGGCGACAATTCCTTCGACTCCTCCCATACTCGTCGTCGTTATCTCCCCTGGGAAGCTACCTTCTGGAGATCGTCGCACCCCATCGGAGGTTTGTGATTTCTTTACATTCATTCGTTTTCCATTTTCTTTTTGGTTCGTTTTCCTGGCTTTCTTCTTGGTGCCTGCATGTTTGTGATTTTTTCACGAGCTAATTGATTTTGAATTAATTTGCATAGTAGTTGAACTTAATTCTTCTGTGATAATTGTTTCTTATATGGGAATCATTACAAACTATTTTCATATGTTTTTGGCTATTTGGTTCATTTTCTTGGGTTTTTTCTTGTTTCTTCCCATTTGAAGATCTAGATTGTAATACTAATTTTGTATTACTGTGTCTAGCATACCTGTGGATTATTGAAATCTGTTTAATGCTTTAGATTATAGGAAGAGATGAAGCTATAGTTTATATTTGTTGTTTTTGAATGAAATGTTACTCCTGTATCTTAAACAATTGGTTTTTTTGATCAAAAAGACCAGTTGTGTGTATGTTTTTGTATTTCTATTAGCAATTCTATTCAACTCTGTTCAATTATGTTATTGTGAAGCCTATATTATTGTAAAACCTAGGCAAACATGTTGTTGTGAAGCCTATGTTATTGTGAACCTAGGCAAACATGTTGTAGACATGTTGTGTTGTTGTGAAGCCTATGTTATTGTGAACATAGGCAGACATGTTGTAAACATGTTGTTTTAGTCATTTTTTGTAATTTTACACATATAAGCAATTTTTTTTATTAAACACTAAAAATGGCTTACCAACTTATAGCATTTTGAGACCAAATAAACTCATCCAAACATTTCTTTAAAAAAATCGGCTGTAACATCACAATAAGTTAATAAGATATAAATAGATATGCTTAACCAAACGCCCTCATAATATTTATTTTGGCTTTTTCTAAAAACAATGATTATTTGGTGAAATTTATGTATAAAAAAAGCGATCATTTTCGTGTTATTTTCTAATTATAGATGTGAACGGCTCTATTGCATCACGCTATTCTCGTTGTTGTATTCATTTTGCCAATAACCACTCATGCTACTTACAAACTGAATTTACATATGAATAAAAGCACTACCATATGTTTAACAAACGGACAAGATTTTAAAAACCTTCATTCTTTATAAATTATAATCAATTCAGCCCCTTTTAATCTTGTATAAAAAAGAAAATTAGTGGCAATATTATTTTTATTAGTATGTTGTAAGAGCGTTTCTCAAAAACAATTATGTTTTCTTTTATTCTAAAAAAATACGTTCACTTATATTTAATATATCAATATCATCGTTATAATATTAAATGCAATAATATGGTATTTTTGTTGGTGTAGGGGTCTTCCTACGAAAATATGGTATTTTTGCATATGCAAAAATACCATATTTTCCTACATAGGTAAAAATAGTATTTTTACAGGAATACAGGTAAAAATGCAAAAAAAAAAATATAATGTTTTCCTAATCTTTGTTGTGCAACTATTAAGAGGGTGTTTGGATTGGCTTTTAAAATGGCTTTTACTTTATCTTTTGGAAAAAGTCCAAAAAGATGTTTGGTAAGGTAAAAATAACTTTTATAAATGACTTTTTCCATAGGGTATTTTGAGACTTTTTGAAAAGTCACGTATACATGATTTTTTTCTAACTTTTCAGCAACTAAAAATTGGAAATTACCAATATGCCCTTATCTACCCTAATTAACGTCACATTCATTCACGTCACATTCTTCATCGTTTCTTCTTGTTCTCTCCGCTCACGCTCTCTCTCGCGCATCACGACCTCTCGATCTGCAACAAACACCGGCGACACCGGCGACCTGCAACACCGGCGACACCGGCGACCTGCAACACCGGCGCATCTCGAACAGGTTTGTTTCTATTCAATTTCCGATCTCCGATGTGATTTCCGATCTCAGATGTTGCTGTCTATTTCCGATTTCCGATTTCCTTTTGATTTTCGTTTTCAATTTGATTTCAGATTTCTGAAATTGATATTGTGTAATTGATTTGCTGTGTAAATGATGTGCTGTGAAATTTATTTGCTGTGAAATTGATTTGTTGTGCTCCTTCCGATTTCAATGTCGTATTTTGAAATTTATTTGCTGTGAAATTGATTTGTTGGATTACAGCAATAAAGTTATATATTTGAACAAAAAAGTTCACATCGATTTTGTGTTGCAAGATTTTGGGAATTGACTTCCAAAGTCAACATACAAACAACCCTTGATTATTTTAGAATCCATTTACAGTTGCTTACTAAAGGTACGGTTACTTTTTTTTTTTATTATTAGAATGGATTTTAAATAACCCTTGATTCATCTGTCCCACCCTTTTACCAAGATTATAAAGACAACAAGTTTATGCTTCTTACAAGGGCCAACAAATAACATTTTTTTTTCGAATGTCATATAAAATTATTTTGATTGAAAAACAAAAATGAATTTACTTTTCAAGTTAGCAATAAATTACAAGAAATATTAAAGGGTTTTTAGTTTTTACCATCTTATATGGGATCATGTTGTACATCATTTTGTTGCAAAATAAGCATATTAAATACCATCTTAAATGTCGTTTGTGATATCACTTATTTATATACTTCATCCACATTACAAACAATACAAGTTTCTCTTTGTTCAAAATATTGGTGTGCCAAAATAGGTTTAAGCGAAATTGACTATATTGTGAAATTGATATGTTGTGATAATCTATTTTTTCTATTTTGATTAGAATTTTGATAAAATAATGAAATCATTTAGAAGGGTTAATGAAATTGGTTTGTTGCTTAAATGTTAATACTATATGTATTCACAGATAATGGATGAAAACAACACTACAAATGTTGATTGTGAAACATCTTTAAAAATGAAAAAACCAAAATTTGGGTGGGATAATCGTAGCTTCATGGTGTTTGTTGATTCGTGCTTGATTGAAAAAAAAAAAAGGTCGTAAACCCACTTCCTCCTTTGATAAAATTGGGTGGGAAAATATACAAAGACGTATTAAGGAGAAAACAGGTTATAGCCTTGAAAAAAAACAACTAACAAACAAATGGGAGAACATGAAAAAAGAGTGGAAGCTTTATGACCGCTTAATGAGACTTGAAACCGGACTCGGTGGGACGAGAAGCCTAGTAGATGCGTCCCCCGAGTGGTGGGAGGAGAAAATAAAGGTATGGTTACTTTTTTTTTAATTATTTTAAGTTATAATTGCATAGAGATTGAACATATTTGATTTACAATATCTTTTTGTCTTGTAGGAGAATAAAGATTATGCCAAATTTAGGAACACAGATTTGAGCATATTTGATGAGAAATATGCTTTTTTGTTTCGGGATTCTGTTGCCGTTGGAGATCAGACTATGACTCCATTACAATTTCAAAACAATAGCAATCCAAACGAAGAAAATATGGAGGGCAAAGGAGATAGTGATGAAATCAATTTAGATGATGATGAGCCTCTTTTTACTAGTCTCCATGAAAGTAGTTCAAGTAAAAGGAAGAGGTCTACGTCTGTTTCCAACAACCGTCCAACCAAGAGTAAAAATTCTATTTATGAAGAAAAAGTTGATGCTTTATTGGATGCCATATCATCAAAAAGCACACAAACTTATCCACAAAATAATCCGTCCCCAACAATAGCAGATTGCATGGCCATTGTCATCAAGTTCCCCGATTTTTGTGAAGGGTCCAACAATTTTTCACAAGCCTTGTTTGTCTTCACCAAAAAGCAAAATCGTGAAGCTTTTATGTTTCCAACGACCGACGAAGCCAAGATGGAGTTTCTTAAGTTACTTATGAAATAATGATTTAGTCATATGTGTTATGTTTTGACATTTATGTGTTATCCGTTGACATTATGTGTTGTCCTTTGACATTATCCTTTGACATTATCCTTTGACATTATGTGTTGTCCTTTGACATTTTATATTATGTGTTATTGTTTGACTTTATGTTATGTGTTAATGGTTGACATCATTTTATTTGTATTATGTAGGATGGATAGTGATGATTCTAATTCATCGAATGATAATGAAGAATGTGTAATGGAAGAGGATAGAGAATTTGAAATGTTATGTGGATTAGCTTTGAAAGGGATAATACTCGCTCGTAACTTACGTACACCATGTCACACTTCAGATCGCACAGGGCACATGTTTATTACAGAAGTACTAAATGGCCATCCTAGACGTTGTTATGAGTTGTTTAGACTCAACGTACCGGTTTTTAGACAGTTATGCTTAGATCTTACTACAAATTACGGGTTACAACAAACCCGAAAAGTATCTATAGAGGAGTCTGTAGGAATATTCTTGATGACTTTGGCGCATGGGTGTAGCAATAGATTTGTGCAAGAATTTTTTAATCATTCAGGGGAAACGATTCACAGGCATTTCCATACAGTTTTGGAAGTCGTGCTAAAACTGAGTGCCGACATCATCAAGCCAGACGCAAACTATAATGATGATGTTCCCGAATATATATTAAATAACCCTCGGTATTATCCAATGTTCAAGGTATTATCCAATGTTTATTTTCTTGGTAGTCAAACTTTAACAAATAATTTATTTATGATATATTTTTGAATTTGAAGGATTGCATTGGTGCTATAGATGGGACACACGTTAGGGCATCGGTTCCACAAAAAGATGAAGTGAAGTACATTGGTCGAAAAGGATATGCAACACAAAATATAATGGCTGTTTGTGATTTTAACATGTGCTTTACATTTGTTTGGGCCGGTTGGGAGGGGACTGCACATGATACAAGAATTTTCAATGAAGCCTTACAGAGACCAGATCTTAATTTTCCCTATCCAACGGGTGGTTAGTATTTTTTTTTTTTTTTTTTGGAATACAAGTTTTATGTTTTTACTACTTGTTTGAAACGAATAATAAATGTTTGTTTTATTTACAGATAAATATTACGTTGTTGATGCCGGATATCCAAATACGAGAGGGTATCTTGCTCCATACAAAGGCACAAATATTCGTTATCATTTACCAGATTTTCGACGTGGACACACGACTGCTATTCGAGAACCTCGTGGACCGAAAGAGAAATTTAACTATCTCCATTCATCATTGCGAAATATCATTGAACGAACTTTTGGAGTGTGGAAAGCTAGGTGGGCGTTATTAAGAGACATGCATGTTAATTACAAGTACAAGAACCAAGTGAAAATTGTGATAGCATCGATGGCGATCCATAACTACATTCGAAAGGTTGGTAGGTTTGATGAAGCGTTTAATAGGGCACAACAAGAATCCTACAATCCCGTACGAGGTGATACCGGTAGTGATGTTTATGAAGAAGGTCCAAGTACACGTCGCACGAGTAATGATGATTTATATATGGCAGCGAGACGGGATATTATTGCACAAGATATAATCACATTACGTAGATGAATGTAGTATTATCTATGATATTTTTTATGAATTATTTACAATTTGTATGAACGTAATTTTAATATTGTCATGGTCTAATCCAAAAAATTAGAAATATTTTAATTTGTATGAACGTAATTTATATTTTACATTTATATGAACGTAATTCTAATATTGTCATGGTCTAATACAAAAAATCCTCTTATAAATTATTTACAATTTGTATGAATGTACTAATTTTAATATTTTCATGGTATAATCTAAAAAATTAGAAAAATTTTAAAAGAAATTTATATTTTATATTTTCTAATAAAATGTTTATAAAATTATAATATGTGTTTAAAATTTTTTTTTATATAAAATAGTATATGTAAAGTAGTAAATCAATGTAAATATGTAAACATGTCCTTTTTTGTCATTTTACGTATAAAAGTTAAACCAAACACCTTAACTTTTGACTTTTCCCTTCAAAAGTTAATCCAAACACATTTTAAAAAATAACTTTTCCAAAAAGTCCTTTTCCAAAAAGTCCTTTTACAAAAAGAACTTTTGCCCCACAAAAGTTAAACCAAACACCCTCTAAATCTATGTGAAAATACCAAATAATATAACATTTCAAGGTGTTTATGGTTTAGAAAATGAAGAATAAGAAAAATTATTTTTAGGGGATTAAATGGGTGTTTGAAATAGCTTTTGAAAATAGCTTTTTAGCTTTTCAAAAAGCTAATAAGCTAAAAAAAATGTTTGTGTATTTAAAAAACATTTTTTAAAATAATTTTTTGGATAGGAAAAAATAAAGCTGAAAAATCCTAACTTTTTAGCTTTTTAGCCATTTTGATCCTAAAAAACAGCATTTCTTATCCAAACACTTTTTAAAATCCGTTTTTCCTAAAGGCTATACGCTAATAAACAATTTTCTTAAAAATCATTTTTTGTAATAAAAAAACTAACCCAAAACATACCCTAAATACGTAAAACCAGGTTGGCCATTTCACAACCATATTGCCCATTTGGCATGAAGGGATGTTGTATAGGGATGAGTAAAAGGACCGAATTGGTTGGAACCGGAGCCGGCCCAGGAACCGGCTTCGGCCAAAATCAAGAACCGAACCGGCCCGGCGGTTCTACCGGTTCCTACCGGTTCTTGTCGTGTCTTCAAATGTTGGAACCGGTCCTTGAAAAATAGCATCATACGGTTCTGGTTTTTGCCGGTTCTACCGGTTCATGTTATATCTGTTCCGGTTCCTACAGGTTCCCGGTTCCAAAAATCCACAAAAATAACATCTCGGTCCCGACCCGACCGATTCCATCGGGTTCCGGTTCCGATGTCGGTTCCAGTTCCGGTTCCGGCCGGTTCCCCGGTCCATATGCTCATCCCTAATGTTGTATAATGGTTATTTATATATTTTCCTTGATTTGTCTAAATCTTATAAATAGATTATGAGATTTGTCTAAATTTGTCTTTTTCTTTTTATAAAATTCATCAATATTTACTAATTATAGTCTTAGGTTGTGTTTATTGAAATATTTTATTTGGTGAACCCACTAAAATACTTTAATAAATTAGTTTTTTTAAAAAGCTATTTGAAAAGCTAATTAATAAGCTTCGTGAGTATTACTATTTTTTCACAAATTTTCCAAATATACTCTTATATTTTCATTTCTCCACATATCTACATGTCTTTTTTGTCATTTTACAATTGGCATCTAACTTATCCGTTACTTTTATAAAACTCTATTGTTTTATCAACCATAGTCACTTAGTAGTTAGTTAGCTAGGAGTTGTGTGATGCATGACTGCTCGGCCATGAATTTAACCAAGTAAAAAACATATCAAAGGAAACAAAGGAGACAGGACTAACCGAATGCTAGGCTTTTAAATATTATATCAAACAGTCTAAATATGACCAAATGAGATTCAATCTCTTACCAAACCCAGTAAAAAAAAACATAGCAAACAACCTATAGGAGCTTTACAATTATTCGGACAAGCACACAAACACAGCCTTAGAATATCCACATCATTGTTTCAAAGTGTTTGCAATAGCCTTGTAAAAGTACCAAGTCAACCGACATCTTGTAAAACAGTTTTTTTACATCTCAAAAAGTTAAATTGGTTCAAGGGTTAATACCATAAAAGCTCCAAATTTTCAAAAAATATTCGGTTATATCATAAGTCCATTTGTGTGTCTAAAGAAGCAACACATTAACGCAAAAATTATCATAATTGCCCTCTTTTTCCGATTTTCCCCTTCTATGGCATCAGGGTGTGTTTAGTTCTAACCTCGCCATCACTACCTGTCTAATCAATTCCCCTTCCCTCACACAATGACATCAGATGTCGGCGCTACCAACACCTACAACACCACCGTCGAAATCCGCCACACAATCTATCCATGGTTCGACGACGTCCTACCCTCCTTTACCCCCCCCCCCCCCCCCCTAATCATCTTCATCTTAACCCTAATTCTCCGCCCACTTATCGTGTTCCTATTAATCATCGTGGGTTGGATCTTCCTCTTCTTCGCTAGAGACAAACTGTTAATTGTTTTCGATTTCGAGTTCGGGCATCATTTGGTTTCAATTTTGTTGATCGTGATTACGATCTATGTGGTTGATGACATCGGAGTTTGGTGGAACCTCTTTATCTCGATTATGATCGTGCCTACATACATGTTTGATAACTTTTGAAGAACAAATTTGATTTGACTCTAACAATACTTTTGCTTGTACCATTTTTATATACATGTAGATTGATTGATGATTATGTCATTATGTTGTTTCAATGGCTATTTTTGTTTCATATGATCTTATATTTGTTGTTTGTGGATTGTGATCTAATTTGTGTTCTTGTTGCCAATAATTGCATTCTAACACCGAAACTCAAAATTAAAATCAAAATCAAAATCAAAACCGATTTATCTATTGAATCGAGTTCAAGACCTCTCAAGTTGGATTTTTATCTGTATCAAACACGCGACCTTCGGGAAAAATGCAACATGTTATATGCCAAGCAAATCAAACACACTCTAATTCTAGAACCAAACATCCCTTAATGCCATAGAATGTATCCCTTAATGCCATAGAATGGTAAAATCGAAAAAGAAGCAATTATGACAATTTTTGCCCAAATGTGCGGCTTCTGTGGACACAAAAATGGACTTAGGACATAACCGAACACTTCTTGAAAATTTAAGGGCTTTTATGACATTAGCTCATGTTTTAATCACGAAACATAATAATTCAATGGCTAAATGAATCAAATGGTGAAGATACTTGGTGCTTTTTATCTTTTCCCCTAAAAAGCTAAAACCTACATACACTAATATACATACACATCAACCAGAAGAAACTCACATCTCATACCTATAATGGGACCTCAAACTAATTGTGGTGGAACAAAAGTTGCAATTTTTTTTGTCTAATCCAAAAAGTAGAAATAAGGCTTTCCCCGATAAGTCTTTTAAACTTTTTAACAAATTTCCCCTCATTAATGAAAACTAAAAGGTATGTAAAAAAAACATGAACTTATCAAACTCAGATTCTAGATGAATACCACACAATTATGGAGTCATAAGAACACGAGTGATTGATATTGGGTAAATCTGCATAAACAACTGAAAGTGAACCAACATGCTGATTTCAATTTCCAGCAACAAGGTAACATACGATTATGGATTATAAGGATTCATATATATACGGTAGAAAAAAAAAAAAAAAAAAAAGTACCACACTTCATTAAGAGTCATGATCATAAATACTTCACTATATAGCTCAAGTTTACGCATGGCATACCCGAAATTTGCATTCTTCAAGGCATTGAATTTGCAGAATCAGAATCATCTATCCAACCACCATTTACACCGGTGTCTCCACCATCAACAGCTACCCCATTCACACGCCAATTTGGCCAACTGGGTGTCTGTGTCTCTAAGCCATTATCCTGTCCGGAATCAGGTAGCACATCGACTTCAACAGTTTGCCCGATGTGAGTCAAGGGAAACATAACATCAGGGTCGAATTCTGAATGCATGTATTGGTGCTGAAGATTGCTGAATCCAATTCCCAACATTGCTTCATCATCAACATCTTCCATCAAATCCCCCAATCTCAAAACCCTAGACCTGGACCTCCTTCGTGCTTTCACATCCCCGTTAACCGGTTCTCTTGGCAACTGGAACCGACATACAGGACACGAGTTATGATTCGAAAGCCAAGGAAGTATACAATCTGGATGGTACATATGCTTACAAGGCAACTGCTTGGTCTCGTCATCAATTACAAACTGATCTTTACAAACAGCACAGAGGACGATCGGATCGATGTCAAGGAACGCGGAAGTGATCTTAACCAAAGGGATGGCTTCGATGGCGGACTTCGATGTAGGGGAGTGATGGAGAGATGTTGTGACGGTCGTTGTCGAAGGTGATGAGTCACTGGAATTAGTAAGATGATTGATTAAGCGGTGGAGGTAAGGGCTGTCGAGGAGGAAGTTGTCGTCGGAAGCCGTGACGGAGGGGAAAGGGAAAGTCCTGGAGGAATCGGCGGTTGTTGTCGGTATAGATGGATCAAAGGATGGAAATGATAATTGAGAAGAATGTTGATTTGGGTAATTAGGGTTAGGGTTATTGTTGGAAATGACTTGTTCGAGGCAGTCACAGTTGCAGTTAGGGCAGAGGAGAGAGGTTGTGGAGATGGTTGTGTCGGAGGAAGAGGAGGAGGAGGATGGTGAAGGGGATACGTCGCAGTTGCAACAATGGCAGCGGTAGGTCAGGCGTTCCATGAAAGCGGTGGTTGCGGTGGTGGTGGTGGTGGTGGTTGGAGAAGCCATATAAGATTTGGGGAAGAGTTTTTCAATTAGGCGAGTGTTGTTTTTGAGGATCGTGAGGAGAGAGAAAGTGCCATAGGCTATGCCGCTATGGGTGATTGGTTTTTTCTGTTTATTTTTATTATTATTATATTTGTTTTTTCAAGTAAGACTGAGAGTATCTCCCATCATTTATTTCATCGATTGTTTTATTTGTTTGCTTTTTTGTTTTTTTGTTTTATTAGATCTCAACTAAAATAACTTATTGATTAACGATCAATTTTAAAAAGTTTATAAAATTATTTATTTATTTTGTTTTTATGATATTTTTTTATAAAGCTCGACATTTAATTTGTTAATTTTAAATATAATTTATAAAATTAAAAACTACTTTACAATCATATTAAATAAAAGTAATATATTACAAAAAAAAAAATTAAAGAATATATTACAATAATGGAATGTTTTTAAATTAAAAAAAAAAAAAAAAAAAAACATAATAAAAATTTTGTATTTGTAATTTTAAAAATAAAAAATCATATGTTTATTACTACTTTAATTTTTAATAGTAAAAATTAAATGATATAAAATACTAATCAAAATATAATGAGACTTTGAGATTAAAAATTATATTCATCATCAATAGTTCTTTTTCGATCTCAACTAAACAAATTTAATAATTTAAATAATCTTCAACTATCGAAAATCTTTAAATTTTTTTATACAATTAATTTATTTATTTTTATGATATCTTTTTTATAAAACTCCTTGTATATTTTTTTTAATTTTAAATACATGTAACATTTATATAATTAAAAAGTGATTTACAATATTATTAAATAAAATTAATACATTACATAATTAAATATAAAACAATATACTACATTATTGCATTTCTTATTAAAAAAATACAATAAAGTTATTAAGTTTATAGTTCTAAAATAAATAATAATATAATAATTATAAATTTAACATTTAATATTGGAGATTAAAATTATAGAAAAATAACTGGTAAAAAAATAATTAAATGACATGTGACCAATGATATCATGTATTGTTAAATTGGTGCTTTTTAACCGAATGTTTAGGTAAGGGCTCGTTTAATATGGTATCTAACTGGATCCAAAGAAGATTGGGTCCATAAAATACCAATTGACACGTTTAATATTGATTATATGTAGGGGACTCGGTCCAATAAAAATAGAAGATTCGATCCTTGGTTTCAACTTGATGGATCGAGATAAATAAATAAAAAAAACCCGTTGATGCCCTACATCCCTGCCTTGTTAACCTCCCAGCAACGAAGCAAGAAGTCCCAATAGCGATCCAAATCTGTCGTTCAGCAGCATCAATTAACAGCAACATGAACGATCAACATCAATAGCAACAACATCAATCAATATGTTTGTTTTTCTGTTTGTCCTTATTTTTTCTGCATGATCAACAGCAACAGCATCAACCAATTGGAACATTTTTCTGTTATTGATTCTTAAAATTTCCATATTTTCATGTTCTTGATTTTTCACCTCCATGATTTATTGTTTGTCATTGTTTTTCATGTTCGTGATTATTAGCATTCTCATGTGAGCATGCATCTTATTTGTTGATTCTTGAAAACAAGAAGTGAAAATTATATAATGTAGAAAACTGAACATGAAAAAATATATATACTACCACACGGCATTAGTTAACCAACAATTTGATTATCCATTTTATAAAATTCAATTCATTATTTGATAATACTCATGGATTAAGCAAACGTATGAAAACATAAACAAAGCAATAAAACAAAATTGGTGAATATGTGTATAGAACCTTTTCTGGATGATTCTTTTTATTTATTAATTACTATACATCTTCCAAAAACAAAATTGGTGAATATATATTTGCATAACATGTGTGTTACATTTGTGTTACATCTTTTTGTATATGTATATATATTTGTGTTTATGTGTGCAAATATGTGTATATATTTGCATAACATGTTAAACATTTATTTATTCCTTAGACATGACGGAAAAGAGAAGTAAAGTTAGTTCGTCTTCGGATTTTGTGAACAAAACTTTTCTTGATGCATGTATTCAAGAGCTGACAAGTAACGGTCGAGAGGGTAGTGATCTCAAAGGTACCTCAGGGAATACAATAGCTGAAAAACTAAAAAAAAATAAATGAAATATCATTATGACTACTTGAAAAGAAAGTATTCAGTTTGGTTGAAATTAAAAAACAAAACTGGGAATCTCTATAATCCTATCACAAATACGTTTCAAATGACGGATGAAGAGTGGAAAGCAAAGGCGAATGTAATCTTTTAATTTAAAAAACAATATTTTTTTTAAAGTTCAATAATAAAATCAAATTTTCAAACAGTTGAACAAAATGGTTGAGAAATTCAGAAATACACCCCTCTTTTACCCTGATCTATACATCCAGTTGTTTGAGGGTGCGACCTCGACTGGTGTTGCTAGTTGGGGATCATCTTCGACACTCCCTCACCCTGTAGAAGGCTTTACTACACAAGATTATGAGGATATCGAGATGGTAGATACACCACCTCAAATGGATATCCCAGCCTCAACTTCAACAGTACCCCCACCTACAAGTGCATCACATGTAAGTGGAGATTCGTCTGGTCAATCCAAAAAAAAGAGGAAAACGAAATACACCCACGGACTCACTTGATGATGACATAAGAGAGGTTGGCAAGGAAATTATGAAAGCGGCTCATGCGTTCGCGCAAACTAATAATCTTGACAAGGAGATGGATGAATATATTGAAAAATTGAGAGGCTTGGAGTGGGTAAATTTTGATCCAAAATACACTACTGCTCTCATGTTGTTCGCTGAAAATGCTGGTAACAGGAAAATCTGGTTACGCCTCGAGTCTTCGACTTGTGAGTTGTGGGTGAAAAGTTCTGGAAAGAATTTTGGATTACTTGGTTGACTTTAGGATGTTTTTAGCTTTATGCTTTATGGATTTATACTATGGTACATGTTATAGATTTTTATGTGTAGGGTTGTTATGTGTTATGTTTAGGATTTTTAAGTTTAGGTTGTTTATGTGTTATGTTTAGGATTGTTATTTGGTATTGACTTTTATGTTATGGAAATTTTGAGTGATGAATTTTTATGTTACAGAGTTATATGTCATCCATTTTAATGTTACTGATTAATTTTATGGTTTATGTTATAAAATTTATGTGGTTTGTATTTAACATGTAATAGGTTATTATGGATAAGGAATGTGAGTTTTTAGGTTTCCTTATACTCTCATGCTATTGGTTGATGTTGGTTCGAAAAAGAAAAAAAAATAATTGGAAGAATAAAAGCTAACGAATCGGAAGAAACCGGGCATGCATATACACAAGATTTGATATACGGATGTCCTATACAATGTTTTGATATGATGCGTCTTTAACAAGATGCATTTGTATTATTATGCAACCATTTTACTCAAAGAAATTGGTTGCAACGTAGTAGGACAATAAGCGTTGAAGACAAGATGGCTATATTTTTACATGTTATAGGACATAATGAACGTTTTCGAGCTGTTAAAGAAAGGTTTCACCACTCCATACAAACGATTCATCAATGTTTTCATGAAGTGCTAAAAGCAATGATGTGTTTTGCAAGAGAAATTATTATACCAATATCTTCTAATACAACAAGAAATACCTCAGAATGACATAGACATCTAAAAAACATATTTCCTGGAGCAATAGGTGCACTAGATGGAACACTTGTACATGCAGTTGTACCCGTTGATGAACAAACTCGATATAGGGGAAGAGGAAAAGGTGAATGTTACCAAAATGTAATAGGAATTTGTGATTTTTATATGATATTCACTTTTGTATGGGTTGGATGGGAGGGCATAGCACACGATTCTAAAGTTTTGAAAGAAGTTGCGTTTAATCTGACTTCTGGATTTCCATTCCCTCCACCAGGTTTGTCATTTTTCTATAAGTTTTATTATCTATATTATTTATATGATTAATTTTTCACCTATCTGTAGATAAATATTACCTTTGTGATACCGCATACACCAACACTCGTGGATTTATGGCTCTTTACCGCAATACTAGGTATTGGTTAGCCGATTTTCGAAGAAACAGAGCTTTAACTAAGGAAGAAAGGTTCAATCATGCTCATGCACGACTTAGAAATATAATTGAACGTGCTTATGGTGTATTGAAGGCGATATTTCCAATTTTAAAACGTATGGCTCCTTATCCTTTTCCAGTGCAAAGAGACATAGTCATTGCCTATGTCGCGGTCCATAATTTTATAAAGAAATACGATATTCAAGATGACCTATTTACGAACTTTGAACAAAACACTATGGTTACTCATAATGTGGGAGGTGGAGGAAGTAAGGGCCAAAACATACAAGGCATAGAATGGGGTTCAGAAGCCGTTGAGTATATAACTATTTTGCATGACCAGATTGCCACTCCGTTACTTTCAAATGGTTCATGTTAAATGATATAGTTTTTTATTATGCATGACAATGTGTATTTGGGTTTTGTATTACACTTTGTATTTGTATTTTAAATTATGTATGTTTAATTTGGATTTTATGTGATAATTTTTACTTTTATAATTATTTTATCCAGCACAAAAGGACAACGTAAGGATAATATGGTTATTTTTATCATTCAGCACAATCAGTTAGATAAATAATCCAACAACATAAATTCAGTCAGATGTGGACTCAATCAATATTACTAACCCAGTCAGCTTCTAACTCAGTCAGTTCTATCCCAATCAGCAACTATCAAACGACCCCTAAGTCTGATTGGGGATAATGTGTAGATTAAATAGTAAACTAGTTGGTTTTGAGTAATTTTTCATAAAATATAGTCAAAAAATAATAATAATTTAAAGGTTAAATAGTAGAAAAGGAGTAAAATAAAATGTTATTAAATGGAGAGGGTTAATTGTAGCAAACATAAAAGGGAAATTGTAACATCCGGTTTTCCAGGTCGGATCGATTTAGGGTTTCAAGGAGTCAAGGCTAGGTT